GATTCAAACAGCACCAGTCACACATCACGGGCTGGGGCTGGGGCTGGGGCTGGCTCACCGAGAGCTGACACAACCGGGCAAGGTAAGTGGCAGTTGCGGTCTTCATTATCTTGATGGCACCTGGAGATAAGAGACGAGATGCTGCCCTGATGGGTTGCTTGCCTCGGGGCACAGTGGCCACTGTCTCCCTAGCCCAGGGGTCGGCAACCTTTCAGAAGCGGGGTGCCGAGTCTTCATCTATTCACTCTGATTTCAGGTTGCGCCTGCCAGTCATACATTTTAACCTTTTTAGAAGGTCTCTTTCTATAAGTCTATAATATAGAACTAAACTACTGTTGTATGGAAAGTAAATAAGGGTTTTTAAATGTGTAAGAATCTTCCTTTAAAATTAAATTAAAAGGTAGAGCCCCCCGGACCGGTGGGCAGGACCCGGGCAGTGTGAGTGCCACTGAAAATCAGCTCGCGAGCCGCCTTCGGCACCCGTGCCATAGGTTGCCTACCCCTGCCCTAGAGGCAGGTTTCCTGCTCGCCAGTGACCAAAGTCGTCTCCTGCACGAAGTTAGGTCTTGCCAAACCCCTAGCATGAACTGCTATAGGCTAGCATTCGCCACACGGCAGCTTTGCTGTGTGCACCAGGCATGTGCACCAGCGTGGCTATGCCAGGGGCTGGAATTGGGGCAAACCTGGCCCTAGCCAGCCCCGAGCTCCCAGGGCATGCTGACGGTGGGAGGAGGCTAGTAAGAAAACAAAGTGGATCGGAGAGTCGGGCCTACACTAGAGCCACGTGAGGCTTCGGCAACAAACCCCAGCAGCCTTGCGGATGGCGCCTGGCTTTGATATGGCTCCAAGAGGCGCGGTGGCTGAGTGGTTAAGGCGCTTGACTGCATTCCTGAAGGTTGTGAGTTTGAGTCTGACTTGATCTCACACTGAAAGGTCACCTCCAGTTCACCTAGCTGCAAAATGGGTAGCTGATCCATCAGGTTAGGCCAGTCAAAAGCGGTTGGATGTGATGCTGGCCACATCACTGCCACGTGCACCATTGGCTATGAAATTGATGTGTCTTAACCTTGTCAGCCCAGTGAGACAGAGTGAAACCAGACTGGGGGAAGGACAAGCAGAGTATGTGGATGGGAATTAAAAACTGGGACGGAGGTTCCCCTCCTTGCACTACTTGACCACTGCCCTTTGAGGTTCTCACAGAGGGGAGGGCAGACTTGTTCTCCCCCCGGCTGAGTCTTCATGGCCAATGTTCCAGGCCATCCTCAAAACTGAAATCAAACCCACCTGCTGCATTGCAATAAATTAAGGATTTTTCCTAATGAAAACACTGATCCCAGCTTAATGCTGGTGACAATATTCCAGCACGGGGGTGGGGAACGTAGCACTGCAGAATCTGCCAGCCAATATCCTGTCTGACTGCAGCCAACACTTGACGCTTCGGAGGGAAGCAAACCCTTCCGCACGGGGCACCTGGCCAACCGTGCCATGCTGGGCCCAGTGGGGTACAATTCCTTCCTGCCCCTGCAGTGATGGATGGACAGGAGGCTGGATTTGTCCTTCGCTTCCCCAGACAGGAGTGTAAGTAGCGGTCAGGACATTCTCCGGCCCAACGAGGCGAGCATCTCACTCATCTCCATGGCCAGGGAATTAATGCACTTCAGACCTACCCTGCCTAAGCAAGAGGAGAAAGAAGCAGGTACAGGTGGGATTTTTGGAAGCACTTAGCATTGGCCTAGCTCCGCCCCGTTGAAGTCAATGGGAGTTTTGCCAATAATGCCAATGGGAGTGGAGCGCTATAGGAGATCCCATGCTCCGCATATACACCCCCAGTCTCTGGGTGGCTAACACAGGCCATCAACCCTCAGCCTCACCCAGCCCCTAGGGAGTCTCCCGTATAAAGAGATACTGCTCACCATGATTTCTTGTCTGAGCAGTGTGGCCTATTGGATGGAGCACTGGACTGGAACTCAGGAGACATATTCCCAACTCTGACCTGCTGGGTGACCTCGGGCATGTCACGTCCCTGCTCTGTGCCTCAGTTTCCCCATCTATGAAACTGGGATAATGATATGGACCTCCTTTGTAAAGTGTTATGAAATCTACTGCTGGAAAGTGCCCTATAAGAGCTAGGTATTAAGGTTCCATTTCTAAGTAGTTATTAAAGGGTTAAATCAATGATCAACAGGGGTTTTCATAAACAGTTAATCAATTGTTAGATGTCAGTATGTTGCCTATAACTGTCTTCTGACGTGCTTATAACCATCTAGCATATATGCTGCTAGTGCCTGCAACATGCCTATAGTAGCTGTTCATCATTAATTAACCCTTTATACCAAAGGTTCCATTTCTAAAGGGTTTAGAAAGCAGGACCAACAGAGTGCAGCAATGGCACACCACACTGCAGTCTCCGCCATAAGCGGTACACACTTGTACAAGAGCTAGTCAGAAATTTTGCCTAACTACGTTTTGGTTTTTTTTGCCCCAACATGCCAATTCATCAAAACCAAAACTGTTTGCAAAACCGGGCGTGGTTCAACAAGACACCTGCTTTGAAAAACGTTGTAAAGAGTTTAGAGATTGTCGAAACATCCTGTTTCTAACACTGAACTGGAAAGTTTGGGGAAGGGGGGGGGTTTGAGTGAAACGACTTTTCATTGAGAAATTTTCATAATTTACACTGAAAGGTTAAAAAAAGGTTGAAACTGAAATGAAATGTCTCACTTGACCTGAACCAAAAACACCGAGGATCTCGGTTTGCAAAAATTGTCAGGATTTTGACTTTCCCTCCTGATTTGGGACAGGAGAGTTTTTTGAAATGTCAAAAATTCTCATGGGACAGGAAAACCATTTCTTGGCCAGCCCTAATTTGGATGGTTACAGAGGAGAACTGCATTACTGGAGTATTTATAAAGTATCATGTAACCGCCCACCTTGTCTGGGTTACAGGAAAATACGAAGGCGACGTTTATTTTGCGGGAGAGAGAGGCAGGTTCTGGGCAATTAAACTTTGATCTTGGGGTTTGTGCCATCACTAGAACCTCAAGGTGGAACAACGATGGAAAACTGTCAGCTCTTTGGGGCAGGGTCTGTCTTTTTGTTCTGTGTTTGTACAGCCCCTAGCACATCGGGGTCCTGGCCCATGACTGGAGCTCCTAGGGGCTACCGCAAGACTAATCATATATATTAAAGCGGGCCAACACGGGGGCCTAGGAACAACAGAGTTCTAGTCCAGTTCCAACACAGACTTGGCACGATGCCTTGGGCAAGTCACTTCCCTCCTCTGCACTTCAGTTTTCCTAGCCTGTAAAATGGAGGCGACAGTACTGAACGCCAGCATGGGCTGGGAGTACTGGTTAATGTTTACAAGGTGCAGCCACTAGATTTGCTTGCAAAGCCCAGCATCCTGTTGCTTTATAGAAGCCCCGCTGGAGAAAAGGAGGCGCTATCAAATGGATTGGGAAGAGCTCCTGGCTGTATGGGGGTAGCCATTCTAACCAGGTGGTTGGAGGTGACCAGCTAGCCACATCATAAACTGGGGGCTAGCAGAGGGAACACCAGGCTGCTTCAAGAAGTGAGGCTGGGGACTGTGCCCTGGGGTTGCCCTTCCCATGGCTGCAGATGCCCGGCCTCCAGAGCCTATCTTGTTTCACAGTGTCAGTTCAAAAGGCAGTCGACTGGACAGTCTGACCGCTCAAAATGGCTTGATAATATGTACATGTGTGTGTCTGTCCTATTATACACCCACTTCCTCCTTTGCGAAGACTTTTCAGTGCCTCGCAAAGAATAATAAAAGGATTTCTCTCCTATACCAAAGCCCGACTTGAACAGCTCTTCCAAGAGATCTCAGCCTTTTATCTCTGGATTTATTGACTGACTTTGCTCACCAGGCTAGGACAGTAGAACATCCTTCTCAGAGCAAGCCGACAGCCCTTCACAAACCACAATCTGCCCGCAGCCCCTACAGCACGATTTGCCCACAGCCCAGCCGCCCGCCCCCCCAGCATGGTCAATTACCCTAGAGAAATTGACCCTTCCTGTGCCATAAGCCATTGAAAACATTGGAGCAGAGACAGGAACCAATTTCTGCTCAACACCTCTCAGTCAGTCTAAGGTTAATGCTTTATGCATACATATGTTCACCTCCCGCCCTATAGCACATAACTCTACTCATTCTTGCAGAGACGCCAGCCTTAATAGGCGCTACCTACACCTTTCATTTATCTCAGTCCCACTAGGAAGTGGTTTAACCCTTTGGAGACATAGATATAAACTCCACAGCGCACAGACTTTATATAGGTAAAGCCCCATGCACTTCTAACCCCAACAAACAGCAGGGTACGTTGCAAGTCAGGTGTAAATTCGTCCAAACACCAGGGTAAGTAGTAAAGTCTTGTAGCATTCAGTGTAACTTACACGCTGAGGCAGCAGAAAGGGGGTGTGAGATAAAACAGCTTGTCTCTCCCTCTCCCCACCCCCTCCATTTCTAAACAAAAGTCTGGATTTGGTAAACAGCCTCCAATCTATATCATGGGCCAATCCAAAAATCCCAGGTCCACAAACTTTGGCATGTTCAAAATCTGGAGGTGACTCTACAGGCTGGGAAAGGCTCTCTTGCAGCCATCTTTCGAGGGGGAATCCCAGACAAGGCACATCCTTTCCGAACCCCAGCTCCGCAGCAGACTGCACTGGAACCATGTAACGGTCTTCACACCACCCTTTGCCATAGCTGCTGGAACTAGGGGGGCTGCCGCACCCCCTGGCTTGAAATGGTTTCCATCATATACAGGGTTTACAGTTTGGTTCAATGGCTCTCAGCCCCCCGACTATACAAACTGTTCCATAACCGCTGCCCTTTACAAACACCTAGGAAAACATTTCCCCACGCTTCTGTCTGACAGCAGGTCCTCTTTGTGCTAGATCGATCCCCAGGACATTCCCTGTCACCCCCATACCCTGCTGCAAAGTCAGGGCAGCTCTGGGAACCGGACACCCAGATTTACCTCAACTCCAGAGGCTGCCATGTCCGCCGATGCCAAGGAACGAGAGGGCTAAAAATCCAACCTGTGGCTCCAACGTGGAGGGACTGGAGGCAGAGCCGGGAAAGCAAGGGAGGCTCCTGGTAGAAGGGGAAAGGGGGGGAAAGGGAAGGGAAAGAATTGGCAACAGCGTCTCTCCTTGTCCTGGCAGGGCTGTCTGTGAGAAAGGACCGTCCCAAAGCTGGAGGGGCTGGAAGGCTGATAAGCGAGGTTTGAAATCTGAAACTGCAGGTTGGCTCAGTCATATATAAACACACACACACACACACACACACACACACACCCATTCATTCTGCTCTCACGCCACCCCTGCACGCTTCCTTGGTAACATCAGGCAGCCCTCTAGCTGCACCACTGGAAAATAGGCGCTCAATGAAATTCAAAGGGGGGCGGGGGCAGGGAGAGAGAGAGACCTGTCAAAAAAAGCAATCCGCCCCCGTGTCGTCTCAGGATCAGTTCTGGAAGGAAAGAACAAAATCAAAACCCAACATCAGTTTTCTCCAACGCTGTTGAGGGAACTGAACTGTTTTTATATCCCCTGGAGGACAGCTCTGATTCCACAGCCTGTCAGGCAGGGGGGCCAGAACCATTTGTACAGTGGGGATGCTGACAGCCATTGAACCAAACTGTAAACCCTGCATATGATGGAAACCACTTCAAGCCAGGGGGTGCGGCAGCCCCCCCCCCCATGCTACCGGGATAGAAACACCCTGCTCTTGATTGCAAAGCGGTTTGCAAAGGAGGGCAAGACTCACCACCCCCATTTCACAGACAGGAGAGCCGAGACACAGAAGTGACTCACCCACGGCCACCCTATGGCAGAGCTGCTAACAGAACCCAGGTCTCCAGAGTCCTGTTTTCAGGAACAGCAGCTAGTGCGTTTGCTCCAGCACATTCCTGCACGGCTGTCATGTTTACTAATATCAGCACCACCACCGGGCACTTCCATCACACTAGAGCATTGAAGTCCAGAACAAACATTATCTAACTCACCCATGCAACGCTGCTATGTGATGGCATCGCCACCCCCATTTTCCAGAGGGGGAAACTGAGGCACGGTGAGAATTTTTTTTTTTTTTTAAAATGGCCTGCTGCTAAGGGTGAAATCCTGGCCCTATGAAATTGAGCGGAGGATCTGTGTCATTGACCTCCACAGGGCCAGAATTTCACTCTTAAGTTCTTCCATACGGCTTTCCATCCAGAGATCCCAAAGCACATTAGAAAGGAAAGTCGGTCTCATCGCTGCCATTTTACAGGCGAGGAAACGGAGTTGCAAAAAGGGGAAGTGACTTGCCCAAGGTCACCCGAGGTCAGTGGCGGAGCTGGGAATAAAATACAGGTCTTCCGACTCCTAGTCTAGTGCTCTAGCTGCTGGATGGAGCTGCCTCTCTCAGGCAATGCAATAGTATCTAGACTGGATGATACACTGTATGCATTTATAGGTACTAATTTTACATTACTATGGGCAAGTTATCGCCATTTCAGAGCCCGACCGGGTGAGCCCACTGCAAGACAGGACTCCAAATGAAGTCACTCACAAAGCGCTTGTGAGCTTGGCCTTCAATCTCAGACTGCAATTAAAGCTCCCGGACAATCTACACACATCGCAGTGCCTCTTTCTAAACCAGGCTCTTCAGTCTGCAAACCACACAGCCGCTGGCCCAGATACACCGCGCGGCGTCCAGTTAAACGGTGTCCCATTCCGAAGCGCCACTGAACTCATCTGACGTGGATTTTCAGCCCAACAGCAGATTCATCTTGTTCCCCAGTCTGTGGCCGGTATCAGACGGGGTTTTACAGTAATCCAGCCTTTCCAAAAACAAACATTCACCACGGGCTTCGTTGCTGGAGGGAACTATCCTGTAGTGTCAGAAGAGGAAAAGAACTACTTGATCTACTAGCAGGACTTTTCCAGCTCTGATTTCTACAGCCCAAACCCTGCTGCCATCAAAACCAATGGCCTTGAGGTCAGCGGGATTGGAATTCAGCCCTGTGCTACATTGTTCTTTCTGAGATTATTTCCTGGGTCCAGATGGTGCCGCTGTGATCACTCTCTTAAAAGGAGCTTCCAAGATCCTTTGAGTCTGGAAAGTCCATGAGCACGTTAAATGCACCAAGCAAATGAAACAGGATTTCAGAGCCAAACCTGCGTCTCCAAGAGGGGCAGGTGGTCAGAGCTTTGGAATGGACGCTGATCCCAACTAGCCAAACTACACCAGGCTGGAGACATCACGATATTACTCCCTAGCTCTTATGTAGCACTTTTCACCCATAGATCCCAAAGCATTTTACAAAGCTGGTCAGTATCATTATCCCCATTTTACGCATGGGAAACTTGGGGCACAAGGAGATGAAGTGAATTGCCCAAGGTTACCCAGCAGCAGAGCGAGGATCTGAACCCAGCTCTCTGAGTCCCTTCATCACTTGGCCCTATTGCTCCACTGGCATTAGAGGGGCTCCAGCTGGCCATGATGGAGCTGCAGAGATCAGGAGAGGCAGGATCCACTGCCCATTGCTTTCCAGCACCAACACCACTCACACCCGAGAGCTGGCTTAGTTTTTCCCCCCAGCAGCCTTTTCCTGGTAGCTGTCGCTTTGTTCTATCAACTCATACGCTCTAGCCATACTGCTGATGTGCCATCATATGACCCAGAGCTATTCGGTGACCACAGAGAGAACTAAGCAAGATAAAGAAGTAGAGAGTCAGGCTACGGCTTACGCTGTCGACCAAGACACCCTGCCAGATTTCCTCATGCCAATGTTATAACGATCCTCACTCACTTCCGCTAAAAGAAACCAATTGAGCAAAACCAAGACACTCACAAGGGAGGCTCGTTTCATCAGGAGCTTACCCGGCCTGGCCTCTTGGCACAGTTAGGAAACCTGACGACTTTGACGGGCACCTCCCCTGTTTTCAAAATGCTGCACTCACCTCCGCTCCACAGCTGGAACAGCTGCACACCTGGGCTCCTAGGCAGAACAGCGAACACTGGCCTGTGCCTAGTGTATTTCATTTGACAGTTCAAATTAGGGAGCAAGGAAGGATGGGCTTGTGGCTATGGCACTAGACGGAGGATCTAGGTTCATTCTCTCTCCAGACCTCAGGTCCCCATCTCTGAAATGGGGGGTGATTATCCCCCCTTGGTCTCCTTGATTTCAATCAGTCAGCTCTGCAGACTGTCTCTTGCTAGGTGTCTGTGCAGCGTGTAGTGAAGTGAGGTAGGCCTCCCGGGAGCTATTGTGACACACACAATAAACACAACTGCAACATTGCTTATGAGCAACAGAAGCCAATGCTGGGCTGAGAAGAACCCTGTTTGACTGGCCCGAGCTGTCTGGGGAGCAGACACCCATCCGAGACGTTCATAGGACTCCCCCAAGCCACCTGGCTGGTTACTCAGCTCGATGACAGCTAATGTCTCGCAAAGGAAAAAGAGACACGCCGATCCTTAATGAACTGCATCAGCTGGATAAACTCCACCTTGCCACGCCAAAGAGCTTGGCCTACTGCACAGTCTGTCCCCTTCCCAGCCATTCCTTTAAGGGGACGGGGCGGTAGGGTAGGGAGGGCACTACATCCATATGGACTGATATACATTCATTCTAGAGCTCACCTCCGATCTTGTTGCTTTGAGGGCAGCAGGCAGTCGCTACTGCAGTTGGTTTAGCCCTTGGAAGGGTGAGGTAAATTTTATCCCCCCTCTCCCTCACGTTGGCCCCCTTTATCCAGAAAGTCTTTACTAAAATTCTGCCAAATTGGAAGGGGGTTGGGAGGATTTCTCTGCCTTAGTCGGTGTCCCCAAATGCTGCTAAGTTATCCCTGCTGCCGGGGGCTTATCCCTGGGGCTTGTAAAAATACCTTGGGAGAGCAAATTTGCCCTTGGAGGGCACCCGATTGCATCAAGCATGGAATAGACCAGACTGCCTCAAGCGTCAGGTATTTTCATTGCAGCTGATCATGACCCCAGCTGATCATGGGTCTGCAACAGCAATCGTGTCGGTATAGTTCGGCAGGAACAGGCGTATCCGAACTGGAGGTGCTGCACATCAGCCTAGAGATGCTTTGGCCATGCTTGTCCAGGGACCCAGGACTAGCAGGGGTGGGGGCTGCAGATCAGGAATAGAAGCCAAAGAGGGAACAAGCATGGAATGTTATCCCTGACTGGAACGGGAAGAGATTGGCTGAGCTAGGATACGAGGAGGAGTGTTCAGATGGTTAGTATCTGGTCAAGCAGAATTAGCCCAGCTTCAAGGGAATCTGGGCCTGGTTTATAAGGCTGCCACTCATTTGCTGTGGGACCCCGTCAGTTTTGAATCAGCTGCCTCCACCCCTGATGCCTAGATGCTGGGGGCATTAAGAAAGCTGTAGCTGGAATGAGGGTTGCAGGTCATTACCTATTTCCCCTGCTGTAGCAGAACACAGCACCAGACTTCTGATCAATGCTTGCTACAGGATGTACAGTACCAGGTACATGGGAGAGTATGGGAGTGGGACAGCACCAGAGAGGAGCTGATCCCCTCTCCCCGGTGTGACGGCCAGACGGAACGTCCCGAACGTGCTGTGCAATGCAGAAAGGCTGCATTCGTGACGCAACAGTGCTCATGGCGCAACATCCAGATGTGACGAGTCGGGGCCCAGACGGTAAACACAAGATGGAAGCCCTACAGCGAACCCAAGGCGGCCCCTATCTCCCGCAGCCTCGGGCAGGAATGCCCGGCGATAATGCAGGCATTACGAGGGATAAGATAAGGGCCCGTCAGGCTACACGCTATCAAGCCCCCCTCCTAAAAGGGATCTAAGGAAGTTAACTTGTCTGCAAACATTTCCCCAAGGCCGAGAGTTGGCATGCAAGGTCTCGACCTCCAGGAGTGGGATTCCAAGGAGAGTCGAGGGGGGTTTAAAGCCATTTAAATTATGTCACTCATTATTTAGGCAGTGTCTGGACAGGGAGATGAGAAGGATTTAAATTGATTCATGGTCGAGAGTCTCTCCCCCCCCACCCACCCTGTTCCATACACGGAAGTTGCCTTTTGGTTTTGGTGTGTGCATGTGTGAGAGGGGAAATCAAGGTCTTTGCCCCACACATAAACAGGCCTCCAGTCCCATTAGTCCCCTGGATTTCAGTCCAAGTTGTCGCTTGCTGCTCCAGTGAGCGTGTTGGAGTGATACGTCCTTGCCACGCAAACGA